CTCATTTTCCCCCACCGTCCCCTTCCACTCCAGCCCTCGGCACTACTAATCTGCTTTCTGTCCTCTGTCTTTCTGTCTATTCTGGACATTTCATATAAATGGAAGCAGCAAATACGTTGACCTTTGAACAACACAGGTTTGAACTGCACGGGTTCCCTTATACGTGGAATTTTTTTCAATGGTAAATACTATAATAAATATATGTATATAAATTACCTATTTAAATATGTACAAGTGCTGTAGCACAGTGCAATCTGCTGTTGGTTGAGTCTGAGGATGCAGAACTATGGATACAGAGGAACCACACACTCAGAGGACTGACTGTAGCTTATACATGAATTTTCAACTGCAGAGGGCTGGTGCCCCTAAGCTCTGCATGTTCAAGGGTCAAATGTACGTGGTCTTTTGTGAGCAGCTTCTTCCACTAGCATGTTTCCAAGGTTCATCTATTTTGTAGAATGTATCAGTACTCTATTACTTTTTATTGCTGAATAAAATTCCAAAATTCCATTGTATGGGGATATATAATATTTTACTTATCCATTCACCAGTCGATGGATATTTGGGTTGTTTCCACTTTTTGGCTATTATGAACAATGCTATTATGAACACTGATGTACAGATTTTTGTGTGAATGTATGTTTTACTATCTCTTGGGTATATACCTAGAAGTGTGTTTAAACCTTATGAGGAACTGCCAAACTATTTTCCAAAGCAGATGTGCCATTTTACATCCCCACTAGCAGTGTATACAGGGCCTAATTACCCCACATTATTATCTGTTTTTGATTACAGCCATATTGTGGGTGTGAAGTGGTATCTCACTGTGGTTTTGAGTTCCTTGATGGTCAATGATGCTGGACATCTTTTCATGGCTATTTGTAGATAGTCCTTGGAGAAACATTCAGCTCTTCTGGCCATTTTTTAAATTGGATTCTGCTCTTCAACTTAATCAAAGTTCTTAAAAGATTACTCTAGACACACCATCTAAACTTCCTTACCTTCTTTCACTCATTAACCCACTCCAGCCTTGCTTTTGTTCCCCACTCTAAAATTGCTCATCAAAATCACCAACCACCTCTACACTGACAAAATCAATTATGATTCAAAATTCTTCATCTTCCAGAATAAAACTCTGGTTTGTTTGCACACCTGCATTTTAATTCTAACTGACTTCTTATTCTAATCTATATTTCTCCTTGCCCTGTTTCTTTTCTATATTTTTCCGTTTTATAGCATAGTTTCTTATATGAGACATGCAAACCGACAACCAAAGGGTATATCCAGAGAACTGCAGGTAACACAACTGGCTAGAGCAGGAGGAAGGCAATGAACTCACAGGGAGGGGAGGCAAGGAAGATAAGGAAAGGCTGCATAAATAACGGGTATTGGGCTAAAGATTTGGACTTTGTTTAGCAGGTAATACATAGCCATTGCAAGTTTTTGTACAAGAAATGCTCAGTACTAACTAGATTGCTGGAATGTTGGAAGATTATCCTGGTAGCAGGTATAAAACTACTTCAGAGCAAGGGGTAGGGGGTGGAGAAATAGGTGGCAAAGAGATCACAGGGGATGTTTTTAACAGTAGTAATGAGGGCATAAGGTCGTATCGTAGAACTAAAAAAAGAAAGGAGGGATCAATGGAAAGACATTACCACTAAATTTTAGCCAACTGAGTTAATTTCATTACTGATAATGGAACTATCAGCTGCCCCCAGTCAAAAGACTTTAGACTTTAAAAGTCCCACTACATCTGATTTGATAGAAACTGGATGAAAATGCAGTAAACACACAAAAACTGTCTCTCCCTGTTAGAAGTATAAACAATTGTAGTACCGCATCCCACTCTCTTCTTCCCTGAGCAAATAATTCTGAAAATTTCAGGTAACTCAAGCTTCTTAAAGAGCGAAGATCTGGCAATGCCCACCAGTCAGTTCTACTCATTGACCCTGCACTGCCCAACCCATGTGTCTTCAATACGTTAAGATTGAGAAGAAATAGAAATTTACGCAAAATGGACTGGGGAAGGCAAAATACCCAAGTTAAACACAGTTCCTTTTCTTTTTTTCCAAAGGGAATGGTTGTTGATGCTCTGAGGAGTTAAATTATAATAACACATGCCAGGAAGATGATGTCAGGGAAGGCGTGGTTAGGCTCTTTACAAGTCTGAAATTCCTTTAGTCCCAAACACTTCCTCTTTCAATCTCACCTATACTCAAATCTCTCCACTGAGGCAACTGTTTCAAAAGTTGAAGGAACAGTGTTGAGACCCTAGAACTCTGATCTTTTTAGCTTCAGTCTTTTTTTTTAAGAACCAAAAATAATTGAAGGCCATTAAAATAGTTTTTTAATAAAATGTAACATATTATTTTGCAGAATCTTTCTTTGAAATCGACATTTTCCCCCTACTGTGACTATTTTAATTCCAACGAAAGGAATGGATATTCAACACTACATCCTGAGAAAGAACATGCCTTTATTAGGCATTATCCATTTGTTGCTTATATTCCTATATTTACAACAGTCAAAAAAGAATAAGAAAACTATGATTGTCATGAGCTTCTCAGGAAGCAACTTCCCTGATAAAGTATACAAATATGTCTCAAAATTTTAAAAATCCAACTCTTTAAAGACAAATAAAATGAATAAAGTCACAACAGTGGCATACAAATAGCTTTTCAAACTGAGCTCACTGGGAATTATTTTTATTTCACCAACCAGAATTAATGACTACAGAATACACGATGTAAAAATGCTCCTTGAAGAAAGCAGATCTCTACAAATCTATTATTTCTAGATTTTGCTATAACATAATGATGGATGGTATAAGCAGATATTTATAATTTGTACTCTTCCAAAAGTTTAGAAATTTATTGTTCTTTATCTTAGTTTTTTAAGCATTCTGGACAGGTCCAAAAACTTTATTACATAGACTTGTCCTACTTGAGAAATAGAGTTCTTAACAGAAGTGGCAAATAAGCCAATGTCAAAAATAAAATCTTCCTCTGTCACAGAAAAAAGTCTGATAGAATACATACAGAAAACTGCTACTAGTTATTTCTCTTAAGGGGTAGAATTTGGGTAAGGAACTTCTGGACATGAAGGGAAGACCTGATTTTTTATTTTATATACCTCTTTATGCTTAATTTTAAAAGTAGGCATTTCTTACATTTATTACTAAAAACTAATGAAAGTTATTTTTAATATTTAACCTTGGGTATAAAAATGCACAAATTACACAAGCAGATTCATCTAAAACATTCTTCCCAAAAGAGGAATGAACACAGTAAGCCCTATATGTCAACAAAAAGACAAAGAACAATGAAGTAGTGATTTAGTTTAAATATACCCGATATTCACAAACCCAGGTATACACACAAGGAGTCATATAGTCACAAAGTGATGTCATCATAACACTGACCTGTAAGAACCCAAAGAACACCTGACAGATACATTAGTAAGTATGTGTCTACCCCCACCCCACGTTTCCTGAACTGCTTCTCAAACCTTACAAGTTATCAGAAAGATATAGAAGAATTGAATCCGAACGCGCAGGCACACCTCGTGTCCTCTATACAATCCTAGATTTAGAAGCTTGTGAAATGTTTCCTATACAACAAGGGGAAAAGGGAGTGGAGAGCTAAGAAAAGGAAATATTTTAGATAGGGTCAATTATATGAAGCCGCTAATAGGGAAAAAAACAATTTCTGAAATTCATTTTACTGAAATTTAATGGATAACCTAAGAGACTTGGAGGAAAAAATCAGGAAGGAAACTTCCATACAGTACTATATAAGATTTGTAAAGAATAAAGAGATGAAATAGCCCTCACTCAAAATCATATATTTATGTGTATATGTGTGTAAGTAAATATATACATTAAAAATATATATCATTGATAACCAACAAATATGGACGCATATTTTTTAAGGATGTAATACAGTGAACCATATAATAACTAACACCCATAAACTAACATTAGGTGTTCTGGGTCTAAACATTAACCCACTGCCTTGATCAGATATTTTGTTTAGATTTACCTGTAATAGTCTCCATAGGTGTATGAGAAAGCAGCGGGAATCCTTTCCCACTCCCCCAACAATCCATCAAATGAGCAAAAGATCCTTAAATGTCTATGGCACCTTTTTTCTTCAGAAACGCTACAGCATCAAAAGAGAGTGTAAAGGGTCTTTCTGCTACAGCAAAAAGTTCCTCGTAATCACCACTGTGTGCCCTGAAATGCCAAGAAACTGCCCAGGATATTTCCTGGCAAATGTGGGCATGATTATTCACCTCTCCCCAGACTGCCTCCAAGCCCAAGCATAGCACAATTCTCCGGCAGCTGTGGGTAAACCATGAAGACTCCAAGGATCCCTGCTGAGCCTCGCTATCTGCAGAGCAGGAAGCAACCAGCTCCGCAGCAGAACCCAAAGAATCACAGAACTTTCTACCTTAATTTCCAAGATACACCTCCTAAAACCCCTTCCCTACAGGCGGGGTGGGTAGGGTCTCTAATCTAGAAGAGGAGACCTAGTCCTAGACCCAGTCCTTGAAGCTGTTGTGAGTTCACTGACTATTCAGCTACCTGATAAAACTGGGGGAAGGAAGGTGGTCTGGGGGAGAATGCAAACAGTTAATCCAAAAAGACAAAATAACCTTGGAGGGTGTGGGCTGGGGGCCAGGGTCTGAGGTGACATATTATCCCTGTGAAGATTGGGTACATCAGCAGGGACTCAAACTAACTTCATTTCACAAAGATACAAACTTGCAAAACTTAATTTGTTTTTAATTCCCCTGCCTTCTCAGGCCTCACATAAGGGACTGTAAATTCCTGGAACTTCAGAACCAGGTGAGAGAAGATGCCAAAAAAACTAGTGGAAAAGAGAAGCACTGAGAGGAGAGGAGTCCCGTTCCCCTCTTAAGGAGAATGTTAAAGCCAAGGGCACTCCCGATCCCCAGAAAAGGAAGTAGCTGAAATCCGAAAAAGCACTTTTCCCTACCTTCTTGTTGTTCTTGTTATAGCCAAAAGTCGAAATCCCAGGCCTGGAAGTCACCGATAGCAGCATTTTCTCTTTAACTTTAGGAAGCTGAGAGAGAGAGAAGAAGGAGAAGGAAAGGAGGGGAAAGAGAGGGAGAGGGAGGGAGGGGAGAGAGAGAGAAGGGAGGGGAGGAGAAAGGGGGAGAAAAGGAGCAAGAGGGAGAGAGAAGGGGGGTAGAGAATGAGCTAGGGCTGCTTGTTTACGTCACTGATAGAAGTTAACTCTGAGTCTGAGTGAGGCACTTCCACTGGGTCCTAATGCCCAAGATGTTATTCCGCACCCCCCACCCCCAAACAGACTTAGCAGTTAAATAAAAACCAAAAGTCCTTAGGTCTACCCCTTTCAACTTTATCCCCTTTCCTATGTGAACGAGTTCTGATTGGCATGAAAATTCGATCAGGATTTTTTTCCCCTAGATTTCAGCTATAAGAAGATTGCAAGCTTGATTTTAAAGGGGCCACTGGAATACTGCTTTGAAGAATGTGAAGAAAGCCATACTGAGAAGAAGTGCGATAAGCTCAAGACTTCCCCTCCACTTTGTATTTACAGCGAACTTAACGCACAAAGAAAGAACAAGAGCTCACCAAAGAGCAGAGACAAGCAGAACAGTTTGGGAAATAACTAGTTTCAGATCCTTGGATAGTTTTATTCCTCTTGGGTCACGCTGATGGGCAGATGTCTCCTACCCTTTTCCAGATTCCCCCAAGTATGATTTCATACTTAAGAAGGAATTATCAACCTGGACTATGTCATGAAACTTGGTGCCTAATGCTTTCTCCCCCTCCCCCTCAGCTTTACTGAGATCTAACTGCCTAGTGGCTTCTTCAACAACTGTAAACTATCTTATTTGACTTTGTATCTCACTATTTCCTAGTCTTCAAGGTCCAGGAAGCTGAAACAAATTACTCACTCACCCAATCTGAAACTTATGCCCAAGCTGAAGTTCACAGAGTTGGGATGTCCTTGTCTCTGACCTGTAGAAAACAAACCAACCAACCCTATTTTAAAAACATATGCTTCACAGAGAAGAAAATACAAAGTTCTTAGGAAAGAAGAATATTAACTTAGAGTCTAGAATTTAACACAGTTGCAACACCTCTGACAGTTTCAAAGGCATGTCCTACAGAAGCAGCCTTAACAAGAAAAGAAACTTGCAGGAGACCCCAAATTTAAGAATCATACCCAGCAACTTACCAATCCAATCCAAGTAGAACAGGGAGACAGAATGAAAGCCTTCAAATCCCATAAGGCCACTCCACTGCCATCGTGGATATTCTAAGAAATAAATTAGTGCTGTCTGCTTTGCCACAAAAAACATTAAGCCCAAACCCTCCCTTAAATGAACTCTCAGTCTCTAGTCTAGTTTTCTTGTCACCTTTTTGCTATAATAATGGGGCAGATAGTACCAACATTCTGCAGAGTAAATACACACATACCAACCCCCCAATCTCTAACTTTCATTTCCAATAGGACAGGAAGTGACTGCTCAGCTCAAGGGACACAGGAAGGGTGGGAACAGCCTCACTGAGGGAATTGCAAATGAGGTTGAAAGCACAGAGCCAAGTGCAGCAAATAAATTGATAAAGCCATCTCTCAATGATACCTCATTTTTTTAAGTCCCTTTTCTGCCCTCAGAGATTCATTATATGCCAAGTTATCACTGTCATTTAGCCCCTTAGTTGACGTCTTCTCCCTTAGCCTAACAATGTGATACAAAACCTTAATCTTTAAGGCCTGATTTATAATGGCAGTCAATCTAAATTTTTGTAAAATTCTAATATTCTCAATATGATGCGTTCTTACTGCATTCCTTAATGCTCACTGATGTCTTAGAATGTAAAACAGTCAAAACCATCATGAGTTTTATAGAGCAGCTGACATGAGTTCAAATCCTGACACCACTGTTAGTTACTGTTTATATATAACTTTAGGCCGAGTTACTTAGCATCTCTAATTCACTCATTTCCAAAATGAAGATAATACCCACTTCATCAGCTTTTGGAATCAAATCTAAGTTCTGGTTCAGTCCTATCACTTATAAGCTGAGTGACACTGGGAGAATTACTTCACATGCCTAAATCTTATTTTTTCATCTGTAAAACAGAGTAAATAATATCTACTTCCTAAAACTGTAGTGAAATGAAGATAGGCAATGCACACAAGGCCCTTAGGAAGGGGCCCGGCACTTGGTAAAGATTCAACAGATGTTACCTCCATTATGATTAATTACTCTACGGTCTCCCAGTGTGTATCCCTCTGGGTATTGTATAACCCAGATTTGATGATCTGAAGTGAACATTTCCAAAAACTAGTATCTTAGTTACATTCAAAAGATAATACTAGGACTGGACACACTAAACTATGTAACTGGAAAGTGGATAAGAAATTTCAGGAATCAACCAATTCAATTTCTTCTCTTTCCCTATCTTACGTAAACAAACAATCTGATTATTTGGGAATTCTTTTCATAATCCCCAATCTCCTGGAAACTGGTGGAACATCTCTTATCTCTAGAAAAAAGGAAACAATACAGAATCAAAGCACACTAAAGATAAGACATCCCAGCTCCCTTTCCTCTAGAGTCCTACTAATCTAAGAAATAGACATAGATACAGAGAAAAAAGTAGTATTTTCTTGTATCCTAAGACTTAGCACCATTTCTCTACTCCAAAAGTAGAAAGTATCAGAAGGTAGATAAAGAAGAATTCAACTGAATAAATTCCATTTCATATAAACTAATACAAAAACCTAGATTTTTATACTCTATCTAGTAAGTTTAGGGCCGTAAAAGTAAAATGACCCAGATTGGTGACCTGATGCCAAAAGTCAGTAATGTCAAAGAGCACCAACAAGATTGGAAACTTCATCGTCTACTTGGGCAAGTGTATTTTTAAAGGAGGTTATGGACTCTTATAGAAGTGATGGAGAGGGTGTTGTTGGAGTTCTGTGGTTAGATTCAGGAAGTATATGAGAAGAGGAAGAATTCTGTTTCTTCCAGTGTGTTTCCTTTGACCTGTCCCCGGCAACCCCAATTTGCTTTGCCCATTATATGGCTCACATTTTTCAGATTTAGTCAGTGCATCTCAAATCCTTGGTTCTTTTGCACTCAGCACTCAAGAGTTGTTCTGAGGGGGGAGAAGTAAAATAAGAGTTATTTGGGAGCTTCTCTTGGAAAGAGACGTTTATACCTGTGATTCAACATAGACTGGTTTGTGATTTCTCCAGAAAAACAACACATAAAAAAAATCATACACTACGGTCAAGTTGGATTCATTCCAGGGACACAAGGATGGTTCAACAAATACAAATCAATCAATATTATATGCCACATCAACAGAAGAAAGGATAAAAACCACATGATCATCTCAATAGATGTAGAAAAAGCACTTGATAAAATTCAACATCCATTCATGATAAAAACTCTTACCAAGTTGGGTATAGGGGACATATATTTCAGCGTAATAAAAACCACATATGACAAACCCACAGCCAACATATTACTCAACAGTGTAAAGCTGAAAGCCTTCCCACTAGACTCTGGAACAAGACAAGGATGCCCACACTCACCACTTCTATTCAACAGAGTATGGGAGGACATAGCCATAGCAATCAAACGAGAAATAAAAGGGATCCAAATTGAAAGGGAAGAGGTAAAACTGTCACTTTATGCAGGTGACATGATACTATATATAGAAAACTCTAAAGACTCCAAACAAAAACTATTAGCACTGATAAACAAATTCAGCAAGGTAGCTGGTTACAAAATTAACATACAGAAATGCTTTCTGTTGCATTTCTTTACACTAACAATGAAATATCAGAAAAGGAAAGTAAAAAATAAATCCCTTTTAAAATGTCATCAAAAAATACTTAGGCGTAAATCTGACTAGGGAGGTAAAAGACCTATATACGCTGAGAACTATAAAACACTGATGAAGGAAATTAAAGATGATTTAAACTAATGGAACGATAACCCATCCTCTTGGATTGGAAGAATTAATACTGTTAAAATGGCCATAGTATCCAAAGCAATCCACAGATTTAATGTAATCCCTATCAAATTACCCAGGATATTTTTCACTAGAACAAATACTCTTAAAATTTACATGGAATCACAAAAGACCCAGAATTGCCAAAGCAATACTGAAGAAAAAGAATGAAGCTGGAAGCATAACCCTCCCAGACTTCAGACAATACTACAAAGCTACAGTAATCAAAACAAGATGGTATTGACACAAAAACAGACAAAGGGATCAGTAGAATAGAATAGAGGGCCCAGAAATAAACCCATATACCTAAGGTCAATTAATCTTTGACAACAGAGGCAAGAATATACAATGGAGAAAAGACAGTCTCTTTGGCAAATGGTGCTGGGGAAGCTGGACAGCCACACATAAATCAGTGAAGTTAGAACACTCCCTCACCCCATACACAAAAATAAACTCAAAATGGCTTAAAGACTTAAACATAAGAAAGGACACCATAAGTCTCCTAGAAGGAACAAGGGCAAAACATTCTCTGACATAAAGCATAGCAATGTTTTCCTAGGTCAGTCTACCTAGGAAACAGAAATAAAAGCAAAAATAAACCAATAGGACCTAGTTAAACTTAGAAGCTTTTTCACAGCAAAGGAGACTGTAAACAAAATGAAAAGAAAACCTACAGACTCAGAGGAAATATTTACAAACAATATGAGTGACAAGGGCTTAACTTCCAGAATACACAAACAGTTCATACAACTCAATAACCACAAAAAAAAAAAAGAACAACCCAATCAAAAAATGAGCAGAAGACCTAACCAGACATCTCTCCAATGAAGATATATAGATGGCCAGTACGTACATGAAAAGATACTCAATATCACTAATTATCAGAGAAATGCAAATCAAAACTACAATGAGGTATCAGCTCACACCAGTCAGAATGGCCATCATTAAAAAGTAAGCAAACAAGTGCTGGAGAGGGTGCAGAGAAAAGGGAACACTCTTACACTGTTGACGGGAATGCAACTTTGTGCAGCCACTATGGAAAACAGTATGGAGATTCCTTAAAAAACTAAAAACAGAATTACCATATGATCCAGCAATCCCACTCCTGGGCATGTATCTGGAGAAAGCTCCAATTCGAAAAAGATACACGCACCCCAATGTTCATAGCAGCATTATTTACAATAGCCAAGACATGGAAGCAACCTAAATGTCCATCGACGTTGAAAGGATATAAAGATGTAATACACACACAGACACACAAAATGGAATATCACTCAGCCATAAAAAGAATGAAATAATGCCATTTGCAGCAACATGAATGGACCTAGAGATTATTATACTAAGTGAAGTAAATCAGAGAAAGACAAATATCATGATATCACTTATATGTGGAATCTAAAAAAATGACCCAAATGAACTTATTTACAAAACAGAGACTCACAGACATAGAAAACAAACTTATGGTTACCAAAGGGGAAAGGGATAAATTGAGAGTTTGGGATTAGCAGATAAAAACTACTACATACAGATAAACAATAATATATCTAGCACAGGGAACTATATTCAATAACTTGTAATAACCTATAATGAAAAGAATATGTATAACTGAATAACTGAATCACTATGCTGTTCACTAGAAACTAACACAACATTGTAAATCAACTATACTTCAATTAAAAAATGAAAAAAAAAAAAAAGAAAAACACTTTTCATTCAGTGTCTCAAGTAGAAGAGCTGAGGCTAGATCAACTCCGATTAGTATGTTGAAAGATGACTGCATGCCACTATTGGTCCCTCCACATCAGGGTGGAGAACTCCAAAGAATGTAGTACCTGCCGATGTGCCAGACCCTACACATAGGACTGGAGCCAGGCTGATGTGGCAGATGTGTCTGAAAGCCGTGAGAGAGGGCCAGTTTGTTAGTGGAGTTCTGAATATAGTTCAGAGACCTGAACAAGGTATATTAGGCCTGAGGCCGTTTCTCCCCACCTATTAATATTCTCTTTGGATTATCTTTCCTCCCACTAATTAACTTTTGTGCCCAAAAGTCTAGGTTATGGGAAAAGACCAAAAAGTAGAATTTATTTCATGGTAAAGAGATGAGGCAATGCCTTAAGAAGTGAAAAAAAAAGTTTATTTAACACATCAGCTTCCTTAAGCAGAAAAATCTAAGGATCTGCATCAAATAACAAGAAAAGTTTAGCATTGCCCCCGTCTGATGTAGGATGGAATGGCAAAATTGGTCTAAAACTAGAAATGAGGGAAGTTTGGTCTCTCAACTCCTTGACTTAACTCATTGGAAAACAGGGAGAAAGACAGGAAGCTCTGACAAATTATTTATCTCATACCCTGGATATCAGTGCTAACAGTATATTCTTCTCTCCTGTAACAACAGATACTTCCAGCCAAAACTCACTACAGGGAATAGCCTAACAGAATTTTTAAGTAGACTTATCCTTTGCCAGATACTAAAATACAGGAA